GTGTCGGGCCCGGCCCGGCCCTTCCGCGTCCCGATCTGAGAATGGTGCCGTTGCATGCCCCCCCAACCCACCCCCACCAATCCTGCTCCCCAGCAGCAGCCCAGCACCGCCCCAGCCTGCCTGCATCTCACCAGCCTTCCCACGCCAGAGAGACTTTTGCAAAAATAGAGAGTTTTATTTCTGCATCTTCCTCCTGGACTTGCACCCATGTGAAAGCTGCTGCATTGCCACAAAGCGCTGCAGAGCCTCATCCCATCTCGCATTGCCCCAGCCCCACGTTGCCCGCCCAGGACATGTGTAGGATACGCCTGTGTGGCTTTTTTTGAGGAATAAAAAAGCCAGTATGTGGTACAGAGGCGTTTCCAGCATGCGATGAATAAAAGTTGTTGGCAGCTTCCACGTGCACATCTCTACCATGGCCAGGGCTCACATAGGGTCCTGCACGCACCGCCTCCTACCTCAGAACCACCCCTGCTGATGTCACACTTTGGGGGGGGGATGGTACAGGACAGGGCATGGTGAATGGCCATGCCCCCCCTCGCTGCTGGGGCCACGTGGAAGAGATGAGGTGAGTGAGATGGGGACAAAACCAGCCCCAGGGTGGCCGGGAGATGGACGTAGCCTGGGGAGCCTGGGACCAATCTTTCCACCCAGGAGCAATGAAGCTGGAGGCCAAAGGAGGATTTTGCTGGTCGCTTTTGTGCTGTTCTGCTCCCAGGGACCTGGAAGCTGTTACGCTGTGCCAGTCTCCCCATAACCACATTGCCCATCAGGTATGGCAGGTCCCCAGGGGGTCAGAGGAAAGGGTCCCCTTGGCTGCTGCGCCCCCCCCACTGCAGCCAGAAAAACCACAGCGAAAGGGCACACTGCAGCACCACGGCACATGATGCAGCTACGGGGCTGGAACAGCATTGCTAAAAGCTGGTGCTTTTAAAATAGCTGGTTTTATGTTGCAATCATTTAAGAAAAGGAAACTGTGAGTCGGATGGTTTTTGAGTCGTGGTTCCTTGGATGCTGTCCTCTCCTGCCCATGTTCATCATCCTCTCTTCTGTTTGGTACATGTGCAAGACCAACTTGCCTGCAACCTGGAGGAAATATTCATTGCTTGTAGGCATGGAGCATCTCTGAAGATGCGATTTCTTTCTCAGGAGTGGGTGAAATAGGCCAAGAGGTTAAAAAAAATGACCGGAGACCTGGGGGACAGGCAAGGTGACAGGGATGCAGCCAGGCACAACCCAGCGCTGCAACAGGGGCTATCGGATGTGAAACAGCTCCGCTGTGCTCCAGGGATGAAACTGACAGTCAGGTGGGACCTGTCCGGGAATACAGGCAGCAAAACTGAGTTAAATCCCGTTGTTCAGCAAAATCCTTGGAGTTTGACCATTAGGTACCACAAACCCAACAAAAGCAGGGGTGGTGGGCATCGCAGCAGAGATAGGTCTCACCTACTTGGATGTGTGGGGAGAAAACAAGGAGAAAAAGAGAAGATACAGAACTGTCATCCCTCCTTGGAAGAAATGTTATTTTAAGTCATAATAAAAGAATTGCAAATGGTTTCTGGTTTCTCTCTCAGATGCTGGGAGCTTCTCTGTGTTCTATGATGCAGTTTATGTATCGCTTGGTTGTAGTGATTTGTTACAGAACAACACAGCAGGCTCTGAACCTCTTGCATGCCTGTTTGTTGCTGCTTCGATATAAAGCCAGGCCTTCCAATCACCCCTGCTTTACTCCTTAGATGTTTCCATTTGTGTGGAACCACACAGATTTGGTTTTTCTTTCCCCAAAGCATCTCTGGTCTGTTAGATGACTCTCTAATGACACCCCTTTCCTCTTCATAATTCAGATAGCAACTCCTGTGAAACGTATAGGGGCATCAAACATGCTTCAAGAAGTGCTTTCATTCACTACTCTCAATAAGAACCAGGTTTTTTTGTATTTACATCTTTTGTCCCTGGGCTCAGAGTGCAATCCTAACAGCACCTGCCCTCGCTGCTGTAGATATGGTGCTTGTTAGCAGCTGAAGAGATGCAGCATAACCAGCTAGGGGAGGCTAAAATGCTGTGCCCCAGAAGTTTTGTGCAGACTCAAACTGCTAAGACCCTGGGAAAGAAACAAGTATTTGGTTATGAGGCCAGAGGAGGGATTGCAGAAGTAATTTTGCCCTTAAAAGCACCACCTAGCAAATCAGGGCAGGATGAGTGCAGCTCCCTCATAAACACCCTTGTAAAACCAGGACTTTGAATCCCTTGATATGAATGCAGTGCCTCGCTTCCTGCTGTTTGTCAGTGCCGAGGTGTATACATGGTGGTGAAAGCCCCGGTGGGGACGGAGGAGCCTTCCTTCTCACAGCTGCACGCAGATGCCTGGGAGCGGAGCCATGGACCACAGAAGGGGTTTCCTGCTGGCTTAGAGGCAGGATCTCAGGGCAAGCCCTCCATGTTTACAGTAAGAGTGGCCAAGGGTGCTCCCACATCACATGCAGAGGTCCAGACATCCGAGCTGATGACATCCAAAGCGGAGAATGTTCCTCCCTCTCACTCCTCCAGCCTCGAAACACCCCAGGTGCAGGATATAGCAGCCCCAGCTGAAATCCCACCTGTGCCTCCAGTGCAAACAGAGGAGGAAACACAAACCTATTCTGGTGAAATACCCCCAGGGATGAAATGGCATCCCTCACAGTTATGAGGTGAAGCCCAAGTCCAAACCTCCAGACCTGATTTCCTGGGAGCAGAGGGGGTGCCTCTATTCGCCTCCCAGACAGATATGCAGAAACACTCCTCCACACTCCAGTTAGCAGCAGATGAGGTGCTCCCCTCTGCATCCCAGACTGAGCCGCAATGGATCAGCTCCAAACCTGCAATATCAGAGGAAAAGCAGTCTCTGCCTTCCCTGCATGCTGAAACACAAGAAGAATCGTGGTCACAGGCAGTGCTGGCAAGGAGGCTGTCTCTGAGGACGCGTGCTGAGGCCAAGGTGCAGACTTCCCACATGGATATACCTCTGAGGAGTAAGTGGCAGGTGTACTGCTTGTGTACTGAGGCCTAGGTACAAACCTCGTGCTAGCAGCTTCCAGTGTCAAACAGCAGAACTTTGCTCCTGCAAGACACAGATGTGGCTTAGGACCTTGAGCAGGCTGCATCCAAGTAAGAAAAAGTTATTTCTGATAAATTTCCCCTGGCCAGAGATGAGCTTTGCTCTACTTCCAAATTTCCTTTTTTGACCAGAAAGCCAGCAAGAAGCTACAGCACAGCAGCAGGGTTATGTACAATTGGTGGACTCAGTCAAAATTTAGCAGGGATTTCAATTTAGTTTTCATTCCCCTGCAGAGCTGTGAACACACAAACGCATTATAGCATGTGAATACCTTCCTATGTGGCTCAATGCAATGGCTGCTGGCCAACCATTCAGGAGGATCCCTGCTCCATGATAGCCTGGTCTTTGCCCAACTCCTCCCTGGCCCAGCAGCAAATTCATCCACTAAAATAAATCACTGGTAAGCTGACCTGACACAGGTAAAGGCTTGGTATAGGAGCATGAGCAGCAAACACATGAGAACGTGGGAGGGAGAGAGCAACTGCCCCTTTCTGGGCTGGTGAGCCACTAGATGAGTCCCATCACGTCTATACCCTCAGTATTTGCAATTTGCCCATCTCCATAGCACTCAGCTTTCCCCTGGGGGTCGGACAGATGCTGGCAAGACAGGGGTGTGCCATACCTGCAGGCAGCTTCAGCAAGTCTCCGCTGCTGCACCTCACTGTAGAGCTGGCAAGGACAGGGTGCAGCACCTCTTCTCCACCAAAAATGCACAATTCCTAGCAGGGACACAAAGCTTGGCCTGGACCTTCTCTCATTTCTTTTTTTTTTTGGCTTTGCAGAGTGGAAATGGCTCCAGTGCAAGCCACCCCGGTGTCTATATGTTTACATGCCAAGGTGCCCCTGCAGCATTGCAACAGCAGCGAAGAGAGTTCATAACATCTTAAACTGAATCAATAAAAATAAACATTAACTTTTGCTGGAGTTTCCCCATTACCCCTGGGGATTACATGGGAGTAGGCATTTTACTGAGCATTCGCACATGTGCCTCTGCAAAATTGCTCAATCCACTCACTTCTGTCTGTACTCAGGCATGAGCCAACCTTGATATTTTCCCCATCCAGCCTTTCCTCCCCCCTCCAAAAAAAAAAAGATGGTCAAGACTTTCAAGTCTGCTTGCAGTCCAGAAGCTGCTTTATTGCAATAAGTGAAAGGAAAACCACAGAGTCATTTGGTGCTTCTCAGGGCAAAAGCTTCCCTTTTCTACCCTGGCACTGAATTTTTGAGGTGCTGGCTGGCATCAAGGTTTTCTAGAAATAAAGGTGCCATGTGCACCGTAACCCCCATTCAGCAAAATGGTGAAGAGACCCGTATGTGGAAAACACTAATTTGTATTGCCTAACTTTTGCGTAACTCACCTTTGCCTCGAAAAGCCTGTCGTTATTTAACAAGGCTGGACGTTGCATCAGTGTCTGCAGCACTTCTACTCAGTAATGCTAGATGTGTGAAATACAGACACTTAACACCATCTACTCTCTTCAGCCCCACTTTGCTCTCATTTGCTGGATTTTGTCCTTTAATCCTCTCAAAATGCTTATCTTCTCTGCGTTAAGAGTAATCTGAGTATCTTCTTTAAAAGCTGGCCATGGAAACAAGACAAATTTAACCCTCTGGTTCCCCTAGTAATAGTTCTCATTTGCTACGGAGGAATTAGTTACTGAGGGGTTAGAGGCAAAACCCAAATTCCCATCTGCCCTAGCCCACATGAACACAGCCTTTCAATAGTTGCTGGAAAAGCTTTAAGTTTCTTATAGGACTTTCCCCAATAAGCTAAATTAGCCTGAAAAAAGATATTATCCTGAATACAAAGGTCTATGGAGAGATTGTAGTGAAACTCCTGGCTGTAAGGCCAAATTACTGTTGAAACATGCTGGCATAATTGCCCTGAATTCTGAGGGTTTAGAGAAAGTCAGGTTGAATATTATGGACAATATTTAAAAACCATGGAAGTACATCTTTAGATTCCTATATTTTCAAGTCATTAAAAACTTGCCTAGATCTCCAGAATCAAGGGCCACACACCCAGCACAGGTAACACAACAACTCTTGAAGAACTCTGCAAACAAACCACAAGATTTTCTCTTTGTTTCTGTGGACAGTTTATAAACAAGTCTATTACTTAACAAACAATTTTGTTTTGCCAGCTGGGACCCTAAAGGGAGTGAAAAATCTTTTTAGCAGTCAGACACCATATTTCTGAGCTACAGGATGCAAAGTCCTTCTGAGAATCTGGCTCTGTAATAACATTATAATACACCCTAGCATGGGGAAGACCATCTCGACTATTAAATTACTGGAGCATAACAAAGCAATGAATAATCCCAGAATACATGCCTTGTTGTGATCATCCCATATTGTATTACTTCCTCCTTTCGAAAAGCCCAGTTCAGAAGGTAACTTATTTAAGCTCCTTCTGCCCGATACCCAACCTTACCAGAGGACCCCAGGCACAGAGGAGGTGAGCAGCAAGAAACAGAAGCAAACCAGCGTAGCAAATTGCACCTTGCAACTCAGAGCACGATGCTTACGTACCTTGGAAGACTCCGCTAGGTAAGAGTTTTTTGCTGCATGGCATTTGTTCCCCAAATTGTGTTGGATGGAGCGCATCATTATATGCATGGGTTTTAGTTGTCATTTTGGCTCCTGGTGGTTAAGAGCTCCTTCCAGGACATAGTGCCTTCCATTCAGGCACCAACATTCCAAGCGAGAGCCACCCCAGAAGGTGTGGCTTTTGCTCTGAGAAGCACCTTTAGGGGCCAGGAGGGCCCCAGACTCATGTTTAGACACCTGAACTGAGCCCACAACATGACCAGGTTGGTGGTGATGTGCCCCACACAGTAGCAATGAGCTCCCTGCGTTAGGAGTTGTCTGGGAGCAGTCGGAAACCACCTGTCACATATCAGAACAAACCACATGTTATTACTGGCATTATCATCACCCAAATGAAGGATTTCCTGCCTTCTCTTAGCACGGGAAACATCAGCACTTCTAACATCTCACCCTGAAAAAGGATGCCGCTTCCAAGTCAGCCACTTATATGTACCCTGTGGCCTCTCCTTCCTTGGCCTGCCGCTGGCATCGCTAGTTCATGGGAGCAACGCAAGTGATTTGTTTGAATATCAGGGCTGGCATCCAGGGGACTGGCTCACTTGCAGTTTCTTCCTCTGTAAAGATGCACCAGCTTGAATTAATGGTGAAGCCTGGAGAGGCAGCAGCTCTCCTCAGGGGCTGGGGCATGACTGCCAGTAATTCATATTATTTACCAGCAGGGACATGGCTGTAGAAGGGTTGAGGAGGCTTAAGGATGCCTATGGTATAACTTACCACTGCTAGTCCCATCATAGGTGTTCCTCTACCTTGTGTTGCCCAGGGCTCTTGCCCCAAGTCTAGCAATATCGTCAAGCAAGCACTCCCTGTAGCGCTGCTGCTGCCTGTTGGCTAAGTAAGCCCTTGTGCTGCTTCTGGAAAGAAAGGTGGAGAAAGATGGGAAACTCTCAGAATAAGAGAAATCTATCTTTAAGTACAGGTAGGTTTGCTGCCATAAGTAATAGAAACATTACAGTATATAGATACTACGGCTGTTGCAATTGAAAACAGGCAATTTAAAATCAGATGAGGTCATACGTTCTCCAGCAAATCTCAGTATTTCTCCAGTGTTGGCAGCAGTGCCACTTATTTGCTAATACTTAGAGTACATCTGCCAGCAGTTACTGATACAGTAATTACACAGCTAGAAGAGACCCCCTGTTATTTGCTTTTATTTCATGGTAAGGATTCCTCAGAAAAAATGACAAAAGGTATAAAAAAATAAAGGGTTAATTTCTTCTTGTGCAAAGGGAGTAGCTTGAAGGCAGACCTTTGACAGCAGCGGGGATTGCTGCCACCCCGCTAACCAGGGAAAGGAGCTCCCTCAGGGGGAAACTAATAGGGTAGAAGGCAGAAAGGGAAAAGTGAATCACCAAACATCCTTTTCTGTCTTTTCAGACCTGAGACCAAACGTGGGTTTTAAAGGCCCCACCTGTGCAACAGCAAACTGTTGCTTTTGCTAAGAGTGCTAGTAAAGAGCCGTCAAACACAACAGAGCGGTGCAGCACTCCCAACTGGAAGGGAGAACTCCCAGGCTATATAGCCCTTAACCCTGCCATGGCCATGAAAGCCACCGGCTCTAAGAAATACCTCCAGTTGCTCCTTTTTCAGGTCGCTCTTCTAGGGCCTGTCTTCTGTGGGAATGTGTTGGTCTGGCCAACGGAAGGCAGCCACTGGCTGAATGTGAAGATAGTTATACAGGAGCTCATCCGCCGTGGGCACAACGTTACCATCCTGGTATCCAACGCTTCCCTCTTCATTAAACCCAGGGCTGAGGCTGCAGAGAAGTTTGAGGTCTATAATGTGCCCTTCAAGAAAGACACCATTGAGAACCTCATTGAGGACGTAGTGGCACTGTGGCTGAATAACAGGCCAACCACCTTGACCTTCTGGCAGTTTTACAAGGAGCTGGGAAAACTGTCCAAAAACTGGCACCAGATGAACAAGCTAATGTGTGATGCGGTGCTAACCAACCGAGAGCTGATGGCCCACCTGCAGGGGTCTAGCTATGACCTGCTGCTGTCAGACCCAGTGACCCTCTGCGGGGACCTCCTGGCTCTCAAGCTGGCCATCCCCTTCATCTACTCGCTGCGCTTCACCCCAGCCTCTACTGTGGAGAGGCACTGTGGCAAGATCCCAGCCCCACCGTCCTACGCGCCCGCAGCCCTGTCTGAGCTCACCGACTGCATGTCCTTCAGCGAGAGAATAAAAAACATCGTGTCTTACCACCTGCAAGACTACGTTTTCCAGAGCTACTGGGGAGAATGGGATATCTACTATAGCAAGGTCTTAGGTAAGCCTTCTGCTACCTCGCTTCTCATTACACAGCCTCGCGCCTTACGACCTGCAGAGCTAGGAACCTGGCAGGCTGGCAAAGACAAGGTCTGAGAGAGGCCAGCAAGAAGTTTGCCATTATGTCCCTATGTGGAAAAGGGAATGAGCCACCAGGGTCCATCAGGTGCACTCACTCCCCTGTCAGGGTGCTGTGCTGCTATGCCATTGGATTGAGACAGGGATCGGTGGTCATCCCAGTTGATAGATTTTACTTTTGCCATAATTATTTTTAATGCGGAGGCTGAAACAACTTCCACACCATATAGGGCCCTCAGCAAGGGAGCTCAGCTTACACATTTCCCCCTCCAATGACTGCTTGCACAGAAAGCAGCCAGGAACAGAGCTGTTTTCCTAATCCAAAGTATCATAACAAGGAGGGGAATTACGAGCCAACCCTGCCACCCTCAGTAGCAATACCGAAATGCATTGTGGCTTTGTAACAGAGACTTCACGTACGTCACTGGATATATAAAATGAATCCTCTCTGCACAAAACAAGTTTTATTTAAAACACACCCTCCACCCACAAACAAACAGTGAAAGCAACAAGTCTTCCTTTGCAGGCTTTTCTTCTGGACTGTTTTGAGTGAATATGTACAAAAATATGTTTATTTAAGTATTAATCACATGTGATTAACATGCCATTTTTACTAACCTCACATTGAGCTCATGAAAAAGAGCACTTGCAAATCTGTCAGGGTTCAATTGCCTGCAAATACTTGCATGCTGCAGCACTCCACAAGCACACCAAACTGTTGTTGTGCACAGCAGATGAGGTATCTCAGCTTGGCTTCTGTCGTGGTTTAACCTCAGTCGGCAAGCGAGCACCACACAGCCGCTCGCTCATTCCTCCCCCTCCCGTGGGATGGGGGGAGAGAATTGGAATAGTAAAAGCGAGAAAACTTGTGGGTTGAGATAAAAACAGTTTAATAATTGAAATAAAATAAAATCCTAATAATAATAATAGTAATAATAATAAT